TTATAGGATGTTACATTCTTGGAACAGTTAATTAGTAATAAGTGCTGTATCTATTATTCAGTTCAAGTTTTCCAATAGTTAAGTTAATCTAAATTCTTCTTTCCTTTGTTTGTATTTTAACTGTACTCTTTAAATAAATTGTGTTTTGCTTAACATCAAGTATTGTGACCAGTCGCACATCTGGAACACGCACTTCACATTTACCTTTAAAATAAGAAAAAGTTAGGGTCTAGGCTACCTTCTTAAAATATTTTGAGGGGGTCTGATCTAGTCCATAATGAGCACAAGATACTTTCACTAAATATGGGTGCAATTAAATGATGGGCCAAATGTTCTCCTCCTATGCAGGAGCTAATCTATGATTCGATAAGATTTTGGGCTTGAAGTATATTATGTTTTTAATTAAAGTGAATTCATGCAGTTTTCCTTCATATAAAAAAAAATCCACAGACTCCAGATATCAGAAGCCCAGACAGTTATGATGTGTCACATCTCACAACTGACTTTAAACTGATCAAAGGCCGTTATTGAGGATGCCCTCGTTCATTCAGAGTCCAACAACAGATGGATGAAGGGGAAGTCCTTTTAACAGCTCTCCCTGACTAAAAACAGATGGGGATCAATGACATGTCAATACATTCTGGTTAGACAGTGAGGTGTAAGCTGCGGATCCAGAGCTGGAAGCTAAAATGCAGCAGTTTAGTTAGAACTCATGTGGAAAGAAAGGTAACACCAAAAAAAAGACAAATTAACCTGCCCACCAAGGAGATCAGGCACCTGGTTTATCACCTGATTTTCACATACCCAGAACCAGTGAGACTGAGTGAACCAAAAGTGAAACGTGCTTTGACAATTACTCTGTATGTTTGTTGCCTGTGCTGCTCAATAAAGCAACTTAATGACAAGTATCCAGCATCAAATTACAAACTGCTAGGGATGTGTGTCTAAAGGACACAGTATCCAGTTCGGACCACATTGCTGTTTTATTGTAATAATCCAGGTTATGCTGGAATATAACCAGGTATTGTACAGTAGAGGCAGATTTCAGACCAGAACCTGACAGATGAAGGGACCGCACAGCCCTAGAGAATAACTAAAGCAGACCCAAAACTCAAAAAATGAGCATCACAAACAAAGCCCATTAATATTACTGTTTCAGAGATAGTAGGAACTGCAGATGCTGGAGAATCTGAGATAACAAAGTGTAGAGCTGGATGAACACAGCAGGTCAAGCAGCATCAGAGGAGCAGGAAGGCTGACGTTTTGTTCTGAAGAAGGGTCTAGGCCCGAAACGTCAGCCTTCCTGCTTCTTTGATGCTGCTTGGCCTGCTGTGTTCATCCAGCTTTACACCGTGTTATCTCGCCATTAATATTACTGCTTTACAGGGCCAACTTGTACACTCCAGATCATTATTTGAACTGTTTTCGAGTATGTTGACAGAGGTTATAAATCCTATCATTGTGTCACTTTTTCAATGACCATCTTCAATAAATAAAACATCCATAAATGAAACTATCAGTCAAACAGTTTCCTGGAAATTTCTAGGAATAAATTCACTGTACAAATGTTTAATGCAGTCCCATTAAATTTCTCTCCATTTTAACATGAGTTTCTCTGTGCTATACAAGTACTGTTTATTCCAATTCTCCAGGCCTATACCTGTCTACAATTGGTTGTCTGCTCCATGCTAAGTAGCTGTTATTATCTTATTGTTCAATCATAATTACAAAATTGTCTGTGCGATTTCAAAAGCTGAATTTTTCTCTAGCCATGAAAGAAGCTGATTGCCAACTAATTGTAAAGATATTCATTACCAACGGGCTAAAAACACAGGTATTAAACTCAGCTGTTTCATGATCCATCAGAGTAAAGAATATCATTTGAAAACAGCCATATTTTTAGAATTTTTAGAATTAGCTTTATTGTCACATACTCACATGAGTTCAATGAAAAGCTTATGGTGCCATCTTGGAAACAAAGATACCTAGATACAAATTCTTAAGTACAAATTCTCAGGGAAAAAAATTAGAAAAACAAAGAAATAAAAGTCCAGTATTATAGATCACAGGAATAAATTAGAAAAGAACTGCGTCTATAAGTAAAGTAGTTGTGTTTAAACAGAATAAAAACCAAAAGAACTGCGGATGCTGTAAATCAGGAACAAAAACAAAGTTGCTGGAAAAGCTCAGCAGTGTTCAAACAGAACCTCTCAATCCCAGAGATAGTAAGAACTGCCAGTGCTGGAGTCAGAGATAAAACAGTGTGGAGCTGGAGAAACACAGCAGGCCAGGCAGCATCAGAGGAGCAGGAAAGTTGACGTTTCGGGTCGGGATCCAGCCCATTTCTGAAGAAAGGTCCCGACCCGAAATGTCAACTTTCCTGCTCCTCTGATGCTGCCTGGCCTGCTGTGTTCCTCCAGCTCCACACTATGTTACCTCTAAATCCCACTTGCTTATTTGTTTGAGCCTTTTAAAAAGTACATTTGGAAACATTTCATCATAGTCAACATTCAAATTTTTTTTTTAGGTCTCATTGGGGAAATATCTAGATACCATCCACTAATAGAGAGTGAAACCCATGTTCCAGCTCTTCAGTATGCAGAAACACTGTGCTAAACACACCGTACCATTGTACCCACTTGTTTGCTACAAATGCTGTTTTGTTAATATCGAACAGTTCAAATCTTTAAACAAAGAATTAGTAAGGAAGACGGTGGGACGCAGCAAAAATAATGCACCAAATTTTTAATTAATTTTCTTTATTCTTTAATGGGATGTGGGCATCGCTGGCAAGATCAGCGTCTGTTTTCCATCCCTAATTGAAATGAGTGACTGCCCAACCATTTCAGAAGAACAGTTAAGAGTCAACCACATTGCTGTGAGTCTGGAGTCACATGTAGGCCCAGATCAGGTAAGGATGACAGGTTTCCTTCCCTAAAGGACATTAGTGAACCAGATGGGTTTCTGCACTGAATGCTTCATGGTCACCATTACTGAGATTGGTTTTATATTCCAGATTTATGAGTTGAGTTTAAATTCTATGAGCCTTAGAATTGGTGGAATTTGAATTAACATCTCCCAAACATTAGCCTGGATCTCTGGATTACTACAGGAACAAAATCAGAAATTGCTGGAAAGGCTCAGCAGTTCTGGCAGCATCTGTGGAGAGAAATCAGAGTTAATGTTTCGGATTGAGTGACCCTTCCTCAGAACTGTGGATTACTAGCCCGATATGCCACCATCTCGGAAACAGTAAGGACTGCAGATGCTGGAAGCCACAGTCAATACGTGCGAAGCTGGAAAAGCACAGCAGGTCAGACAGCATCTGAGGATCAGTGAAGGGTTTCAGCCTGAAACGTCGACTTTCTGCTCCTCAGATGCTGTTTGATCTGCTGTGCTTTTCCAGCTTCACATCTATTGACTAGACCACCATCTCCCCTTTGTGCACTAAATGCAATATTTTACTTGGATAAATAACGCGCTCTTATTCACATGATTTTACAGCGGGTGAAATGTCCAGATACTTACATAAATCGGAGTTCTGATTCCCTCCTGACCAACACCTCCCGAAGACGCTGGATTCGCACCATTTCCATTTCAATTTCATCTGGTGTCATGGTCAAGTCAGCCATCGAGACAATGTCAAGTTGATCTGCAAGTCAGGAGGCATTGGCAAAGTCAGAATAAACAAAATAAACCATTGCCATCAATCCAAACAATCTTCCATTCGTCTGACATGTGCCAGCAGTGCTCTAATGTTGACTGACATCAAATCCAAAACACTTCCACCAGCCAGCATATATTCAGGTGCAGGCAGCACATTTTCTTCTCTAAATGAATACCAAATGACTTGAGGAAAATAAATTACTATTAGATTGAGACAGTCGTTTTCTTGCCGTATTGCATTATGAATGAGGTTCTCAAATTATCTGTTAAATGAAGCCTGTATTTCCAATTGCTACAATTCTACAATACTGTCTTTATAGTGTAGGTATCAAATCCATCTCAAACTACACACAAGGAGCGCGGTTTGTGCCTGAATTTCTCAAGGATAACTTTGTTCAACATTGCCTTTCTTTCTAATTTAAGGCCACATTAGAATCTTTTACCATGTGCTTATCTTGTGTTCATCTGCTCCATTTAGGAGGGTCAGACGGGTTTTTTGTATTGGTCCAATTTTTTTGTTGACTTTCTGGGCCATATTTCAATAGGATCCTGGTTCACTCCACAAAAGAGAAACAATGGGGATTTGATGGTGTGTAACAGAGCTCAGAATTGGAATACAGCCGTTTAAACTTCAAGGTAATAGCACTGATGACCTGGCAGTGGAGTGACATATAGCTCCAAGATCATCATATTAAATCAAGAGGCAACATTAAATTGCACTCCCCAATGCTCCCCAATTTGTGTTTGACTTGAATAATTTTGTGATGGCAATTTTTCATCAGCCTCAGATTACAAAGGAAAAGAGGCAGATTTCACTCAGTCCAGTAATTTCTTTCGTTTATCCAAGTCTGTTTACTTCTTTTAACCTTTCTGTCACACGTGCATGTGTGTATTCTAGTATGACTCCAGTGTTTAATAAGTGGAGGCTGGTACAATTACAACATTTAAAAGGCATCTGGATGCTTCATGATTAGGAAGGGTTTACAGGGATAGGGCTGAATGTTGGCAAATGGGACTAGATTAATTTAGGATAGCTGGTCGGCATGGATAAGTTGGATCAAAGGGTTTCTGTGCTGTACAACTCTATGATTCTAAAAGCTGATCTAAGACGGTTATACCTCCATTTGCTGAAATGTTATCCCCTAATCACCTTGGCTCCAACGGATCAACATGCCACTGTTTCAGCTCTTGCTCTGCCATTGGGAGTCTGAGAGCTCGCTGTGGTACAGTTATAATCAGAATACCAGCCAAAGTTAGCAACAGCAAGACTGGTGAAACATACATCCTTGCAGGAAATCCTGGGCCCTGTGGAAACGACTTAGACGGTAATGACAAATTTCACTCACTGTATTATATCTAAAGCTCCTCTACACTGTAGCTTGACCTATAGAAGAACAGGAGGCTGGAAGAACTTCTTCAAGAAGGGTAGTACCCAAAATGTTGACATCTCCTTTCCTCCAAATGCTGCCTGGCTTGCTGTGTTCTTTGAGCCTCCTGTTTGTCTACCTTGGATTCCAGTGCCTGCAGGTTTTTTTTGTCTCTGACCTAAAGGAGTTCAGCATTTGCTCTGCCCTGATTTGGTGCTCAGCATCAACTGACCTGAACTGTTCCCACCTGCCTCATCAGAAAAACAAAGTCATGTCCCACTCCAGGAAGACAGCATGCAATGTAATCTTTAGGGAAGTACTGGGCCAGTGCTGCTTTGTTGGAGGTATCTTTTACGGATCAGATATTCAAAGGAGTATTCAGGTAATCATAGTTAGTAATATTCTTTCCCAGGCTCTCTCATCTGGCACCTTCGGTTTTGATTAATATAATGGGACCAATAATGGGCTGAAAACTGACAAATCCCCAGGACCTGAGGGTCCACATCGCAGAGTGTTGAAGGGGTTGGCTACAGAGATAGTCAATTATCTTCAAAAATTCTACAGATTTTGGTCTGATTCCTGCAGATTGGAACTGAGTTCTGAGGAAGGGTCACTTGACCTAAAACATTAACTCTGATTTCTCTCCACAGATGCTGTCTGACCTGCTGAACTTTTCCAGCAACTTCTGTTTTTGTCACTGATTAACAGCATCCACAGTTTTTTCAGTTTTTATTGACCAAACTGGGCCTGTAATTCTTTCAAAGAATGAGAGGTGATTTCATTGAAAGTTACAAAACACTAAAAGTCATAGACAGGGTACATTCACAGATGTTTCCTCTTGCTGAGGAGTCTAGAATCAGGGGGCACAATTTAAAGATAAGGGGGATGTCACTTAGGTCTGAGATGAGGAGCGACTTTGCAAATCTTTGGAATTCTTTGCCTCAAAAAGCAGTGGAAGGTCAGTCTCTGGGTCTATTTAAGGTGGAGATTGATAGATTTCTGATTACCAATGGCATACAGGGTAATGGGGATAGGGCTAATAAAAGGCATTGAAGTGTTTGATTGTACATGATCGAACTGAATGGTGAGGCGGGCCATTCTTGCTCCCACGTCCTATGTTCCAAACCGTAGGAAATTTGACCATTTTCCATCAAACCTTCACCATTTTTGAGGCCTCCACTTCAAAGCTTTGTCCAAACATTCTCCTTTAACTATACGAGCAGGAACAGAAAATTGTTCTGATGCACAATCGGGAGATTATGCTTCAGTTACACAGAATATTGGTGAGTTCACATCTAGAGTACTGTGCATAGTACTGGGACTGTACTTGAGGAAGGATGTTAATGAGTTGGAAGCAGTTCAGAGAAGGTTTACTAGACTAATACCTGGCATCACTGAATTGCCTGATAAGAAAGGCTGGACAGGCCAGGCCTGTATCCTCTGGAGTTTGGAAAAGTAAGAGGTGACTGAATTGAAACACACAGAATCCTGAGGGGACTTGACTGGGTGGATGTGGAAAGGATGTTTCCCCTTGTGGGAGAATCTAGAGCTAGGAGTCACCGTTTAAAAATTTAAGACTGAGGCAAAGAAAGATGTTTTCTCTCTCTCAGAGTTGAGAGTCTTTGGAATTCCCTTCCTCAAAAGGCAGCGGTTGTAGAAAGTTTAAATATTTTTAAGGCAGAGGTAGAAAGATTCTTGATGACCAAGGGGATGAGAGATTATCAGGGATCTGCAGCAATGTAGAGTTGAGGTTCAAATCAGATCAGCCACGATTTTATTAAATGGCACACTGGCTTGAAGGGCTCAATGGCTTACCCTGTGCCTGGAAGGTCTGGTCAACATATTGCCCTCAACCAGCAGAACTAAAGATGATTAACCCTGTTTATGGGATCTGACTGTGTACAACATGGCCTATTGTGTTTGGGTATAAAGCAATAGACACTAGTCTTTAAAAAAAAATTTCATTGGAAATGAAGCCCTATGAAATTACCTGAAGCTAAGGCAAGATGTTACAGATGCTAGTTAGCTGCCTGTTTCCATTCAGTTCATCAGTCTTTGTAACGAATGCAGACAAGCACAGTTTTTATGATAAAAGATGTTCTGAGAGTATGCATAGTTGAACAGCCTTCTCAAATATAAGTGCTCATCAAGAACACCATGCACAAAACTAAGAGAATGCTAAACAACACTAAGAAACTCAAACAGCATCACACATAAAAGGTGTTATCATTTAATAGAGGAATAATTCATTTTGTGTCTCCTGCTTTCGATGCTAATTAAATAACTGGATGTGGTAAAAGCAAACTCCAGATTAACATTTTGGGCAATATTATATGACGATATTCTTTGGCTATAAAATGTTTTAACATGCCAGCCTGAAACCATTAAACTTATTTCAGAATATAAAATCATTTCCACTTGACAATTGCATTTACGGTTCACTGGTTCTGAAATTTAAATATATTGCTTTGTGTAATGTTCATATCTAGGACAGAACATCTGACAGAAATCGAGTAATACGTGCAAAAATAAAACAGGAAATACAGATACAATCTTATAAATGCAATCGTTGCTGGCAAGGTGCACAATGCAAAGCAAGAAATAATATCCTTGGCAGCGTGTTTGGGTTTTCATGGAGTTTGCAATATCAAGGCAATGTGATTAGATAACTCTGTGCAATAGAGGCTGAATTTCATTAATGTGACATGATCAAATGTGTATGAGTTATCGTATGGTATTGAATAATAAGTTCAAAAATCTTACTTTGGGAACTGAAAATGCAAAGAGTGATAGAGCCATAGAGATGTACAGCACAGAAACAGACCCTTCGTTCCAACCCGTCCATGCCAACCAGATACCCCAGATAATTCTAGTCCCATTTGCCATCATTTGGCCCATATCCCTCTAAACCCTTCCTATTCGTATACCCATCCAGATGCCTTTTGAATATTGTAATTGTACCAGCCTCCACCACTTCCTCTGGCAGCTCATTCCATACACACATCTCCCTCTGCTTGAAAAAGTTGCTCCTCTAGTTCTTGACTCGCCGGTCCCAGGGAAAAGACCTTGTCTGTTTACCTTATCCATGCCCCTCATGATTTTATAAATCTCTATGAGTCACCCCTCAGCCTCCGACGCTCCAGGGAAAATAGCCCCAGCCTATTCAGCCTCGCCCTGTCGCTCAAACCTTCCATCTGGCAACATCCTTGTAAATCTTTTCTGAACCCTTTCAAGTTTCATAACATCCTTCCTATGGCAGGGAAACCAGAATTGCATGCAGTATTTCAAAAGTGAAATGTTTAATACTTGATGTGAGAAACAACATCTTAATAGACAGAAAGAACTGTAAGGTTTCAGTCATTGCCTACACACAAGATGTTGTTGGTTTAATATTTTGATGAATGAAGTGAGACAAACACAGATTTGGAGGTATAGCTGGTTGCAGCTAATGGGAGGTTCCAAGCAGATGAAAACAAAGCCCCATTGTCTGCTGTTTCTCGGCCTTTGCTTTAATTATTACAGACCCTGTTCACCATCAACAAGGCTCAAAGTCAGGAATGGGATGGAATACCTCCCACTCATCTGGGCAGATACAGCTCCAGCAATACTCAAGAAGCTC